AGGAAGGATAACGAGAATCGGGCTCAGGGCACTCTCCATACAGACATTTTACACACAGGAGTCGAGTGCGTGGTAATTTCTAACAGAGTCCCAGCGTGGCTGCTGCTAGAAGGCTTGACCATGTGTAGGTGTTACAGATGTGAACACACATAACCTTGAACAACAAATAAGGGATGGTATTGTATGGAAATGCTTTGGGGTGGCACAAGCCATAATACTGAGAACTGGCAGGACTAGAACACTTATTTTTTCACTCATTTTTTAGAGATTAACAGTGCTAGGCAAACCTAATATTGCCAGCTCCCTGCCATTGTGTAGTGCCACTTACTCTGCCTTCCAGAGTGGTTGCATGGAGGTGGGGTGGGAATTCTGGCCGTGCAAGGAGAGAAGCTTGAGAGCTGTAACACCGCTGTTGTGCTTGCTCTGTGGCCTGCCAGGCCTGGCCATGCTGCCACACAATGGAGGGACATCCACAATTTCATTCTCCTTTGCCCCCTCCAGTAACGAAGCAGCAGTACATGTATTTTCATAGCTTTGAAAGATGCATTTTTAGAAGTTAACCAAACACCAGTGTACTTATGCACACCCCTCCCTCAAGTTACTGCTCCACACTCATGCAGTCATAATACATCTGGTTTAAAACACAATTCCCTGTAATTAAAATAACAATGAGGAAATGTATCTAAGAGCAAAAAACTGAGAGGTAAAGTGTTTTGCAGAAATACACCAAAGAGCATTTTAATGATGTGTGAGAGACAGAGGCAAACTGTTCCATTCCCTAATAGAGAGTGTTAGCAAATAGACGTGGTCTTAATTGTACTTGTACCATGAGATACCTTAGGAACATGCATTTTGGGGTTTGGTTGTTCTGAGAATAACGCTGAAAGCATCTAGCATAGAAAGGCTCCAGAAGACTTGTGGGGCAGGCTGAAGCCTTTCCTGGAGCCTGACTGCAAATAGCAGGGATGGGGCATTCATGGGTTGCAGTGGTACATACCCACCTGCATCAGGCAAAACCTGAGCACAGAGCAACTGGACCAGGGAGGAGGAAGCAGGAGAACATCAGAGAACACTGGTGCTGTGGCTCCAAGCACCAGCAAAGGCAACATTCTTTGAGCTGGTGGCTCTATGAAGAAGGCAGATTGATTTCTGGAGGAGGAAATCACCTCCCCATGGAAGGTTCTGCTGTGTCTAGGGGCTTCATGGCCATTCTTGACAAGCAAAACAGTACCTGTCTCATGCCATGTCTTCCTGGGGCAGCTCTGCAAGGCATTAAGTGGAATGAAAAATATTTTATAAGATACACTGTAGTTAGATGCTAAGTAACATATTACTTCATTGGCTGTGCTGCTTTGATTCACCAAAACAGCTTTCATTTGTTATCTTAGAACATTTTTGCAGGTTGAGGTACAGGCTTGTATTTAAAGACTGTGGCTGCAAATCAAAAATGTGATAGGGACAAAATGGGATGTTCACAATAGAGAACAGCAGTGATGTGGGTTTGTTCTTCCAGAGGAAAAAAAAAAGTCACAATACACTCAATTTCAGAGAGTCAGGAAACAGATCTGTACTCAATCTTTCTATTTCACTTTAGAAGCAAATGCTCTTATTTGACCCGGGGCTTGAATAATAAATATTTATATGGAAATCTTCCTTTCATAATTCATTCATTACTTTGGGCTCTGGGAATGGCTCACTGTGCCTCTGCCTCATTTTGAGCTGTGCTCTAATCTTCACTGTCACTGCAAATTGTTCACTGGATGGAAAGGGAAGGGCAGAACAGCAAACAGTGGGTTTTTCCACTTACTCCCTCTGCCTATCCTGCACCCGGGAGACTTGCAGCAGATATTTTTTTTTTTTTTGCTAAGCAGCTAGAGGTCCATGTAGCATTAAGATCTAAGGAGGATCTGGTCTGGAGGATCAGTTCTAAATAAAAGACAATAATGTCTTTCCTCCTTTTGAAGGGAGGGCTGTATGCCCATTGATAGCCACATCTATTGACTTAAATGTATTTTGAAATCAGGTCGAGATGCTATATTTAAATGTGGCCAGGCTGTCCAGCACGAGCAGGGCAAAGGCATACCCAAATAGTGTTCCTCTTCACACAAAAGACTGAGTTGTTTTTTGAAAAAGAATAGCTTCTGTTAAGAGTATTTTGAGAAAGCACCTTCCCTCTCAACCCCAGATCTTTCTAGAACAACAAGACAGTCTCCATCATAAGGCTTCTCCTGGATTTTTACTTTTATTTAATCAGCAGACAAATGTTAAACAGCAGTGACTAAAGTACTGCTGCCTTTTGCATTAGTGCAAAACACACATGACTAGAACTGCAGTGCTCAAAAATCACTGTGAGGTTCAGGAATAAGCTGTTACCAGCCAAGGCACCTCAAGCAAAGGTGGTGTTGTTCCAGCCTACATTGCCAGCACTGGTCTCGAAGAAGCTGACGTAGATTCTGAAAGGGAAGACAGACATCATTAGCTGGTGAGAGCAGAGTGCTGCAGGCTGGCCAGGGTGTTCCTGCAGCAGGACATGCACAGCCACACTGTCCCCCAGAGCTTTACACTTCTCAGGCCTGTGCTGCACCTCAGCAAGTCACAGTTTCCTTTTGCAGGTTCTAGCAGGCATGTTTGAGCATTGCTTATTCCCCCACACCAACACCCTTTTGAATGCCTTGTCTACTTGCATTCTGGAGTTCCTGGTGTTTCCCTACTTGTTTTAAGGAGCTCTCAGGATGCTGTGTTCTATTTACAGTAATTTCTGCAGCAGATTGGTGTACCTTCAGGAAAAGGACTAGAAATGTTTTTATGTAAGTGGAAGTTTTTGTAATAAACCTCTGCTTGTACCCCACAGGTAGTAGGGAAGTGTTGATTACTTGAGTAATATGTACCAATTTAATAACATCAAGTTGTTTTTTCTGTACCAGGGCTCTTGCACATGAGATCTGGGGATCTATGCAGTACCTGAGCCTGCATCATTTTAATTAAATGAAATTTTACATCTTCCAGGCATTGGTATTGCAGCTCATGCAATAGCTTCTTTCCTTTTTAATTGGAGAGTTACTCTGACTTGGCATTTAACCTCTTCAAGCAGAATGTTAATAGAAGAACACCAAAGGACAAGTCTGGGGTTAATAGTGTTAATCTGTGGAAAGTCGTGTCAGACAAGCTGCTGTATGAGCTCACCTATCAGGTGGTATTTTCAGCTGTTTGTTCAGCAAATCACAAAGCAATTTGGAGTAGACCTTGTTCTCCTGCTCCCCTATCTTTCCAATGCTGTAGAGAAAGCACATAGCACAGGGGTCTGTGGAGCCACCAAAGGACATCAGCTGATCAGGAGAGATCTGCATTGCTAGATACTGTTGGAAGAAGAAAAAAAAAAACAAACCCAAACTTATTTTCCTTTGCCATGTTAGGAAAAGTTCTGAAAATCCAGGAAGGTATTTGTGTACCTAAACTGCAGTGAATAGGTGCATGCCTGTCAGTCATGCTTTTGAACTTCTCCTGTATGTACTGCATTCACACTTCCAGACTTCCTAAATATTTTCCTGCAAGTTGAAAAGATGAGAAGGCATGAAATACAATCACATTCCCACAACATAACATTTGGGAACGGGCACTGCCATCACAGTTCTTTCATCTGTTGCAGAATGGTTGTATTCTCAACTAAAAGTACTAGCAGCACATAAAGAAAATAAAAAAAGAAAAGGCAAGTTCAGTCCCAGGCACTCAGAGATGTTTTTTGCCACTTACTAACATGCAAATAGTTCCACTGTTGTTTTTAAGTTCCCCTGTGGCAAAGATCCTCCCCTGCCTGCTGTCGTGCAGCCTTCAACCCCAGTGTGCCCAATCACCTACTGAAAGGTGGGTTCTGGATGCTCAGCTCACATGCACTGATGGAAGGAGGACCCTGCAGTATCATCTCTACTGACTTTGAGTTTTGGGTAGAAAGTTCAGATACTCAGGGACCTGCAGTACCTCCAGAACCTGCTGTGAGTCACTGATCTCTCCCTGCCTGTGCAGGAGGGCTGGGCACGAGGGGGTGTGTGCCATTGCACTGCTGCTGCCCTACGTTCCAGAGGGATTTTTGCACCTCACTGGCTCCTGCTGCAGTCGTCCCTGCTGAGGGAAATGTGAACTGACAAAGCAGAGGTCTAAATCAACATCCTCCTCATGAAACAAAATATGGCCTAATCCTACTTTTGTTCCTGATAGCAGGAAAAATAGAAGAAAGTATCTATGTTAATATTAATGACCAGCCTGCAATTTTCCCTGCTTCTAATCCACAGACTGGGGAATCCAGGGATCAGTTCCTTTGGCATCCATCTGCCTTGTGTTCTGGTCTTACCCACGTTTATTAGCAGCGCATCATTGGAACTCAGCAGCAATTGGTAAAACAAGCTAGCCTGAGTACCAGGACCTGTCTGGGTAATTAGTCACAGCCATAATTTGGAGCTTGTTTGGGTGCAGGGTGCATCAGACCACAGTAGTTCAGGGTAGGCCAAGGAGATCCTGCTGAGGTACCACTTCCTTGCTTCACTGTCCCCTGGCTGGCTATTCTGTGCTCTCAGCTTTATGCCCAATGCAGGTACATACCTGCCTTCAACATCTACCCTGGAAATAGGTTATTTAAAAAAAAAAAAAAAATCACACTGAAGTGTTAATCAGCATTATTTTCTTCTTAGAGAAGTTTGAAGATGTTTGAAAACAGTTTTTCCAGTAGGAAAAAACCCTAATTTGATTAAAAATAAAAATCCATATTTTTCTCAAATGGTACCATTTCCTGTGAGAGGAAAGCTCTGCATTCCAGCCCACCCTAATCCTTTCCTTCTTTCTGTGTTACAACTCAGAGATGCTCCCTTTCCTATTGCCTCCTTTGTCACGAAGAGCTTGCATGTCCTCTTCAAAAAATCTCTTTGTTGTTCCCTGTATATTTCTAAGTCCCATTACACATCCCTTCCACGCTGCTGCACAAACCTGTTCCAGCTGCATCCCAGCCCTGGCCTCTAGCTTTATATTCAGGAGCCGTTATGCAAGAACTACCAGCTGACACCCCTCACTCCCCCCTCACAGCAAGTACTTGTTTGCTAGACTGATAAAGAAATGTTTTTTGAAGAGGGATAGAACACATCAGTTTTACATAAGAATTTCATTATACTACTGCATGTGTTGGAAAAAAACAAGTCTTACTCCCATTTACAGGTTAGCCTGCTTTTTGTGGAGACAAGACTTATACAAGCCTAAAACATGCTTCTCTTCCCAGAGGTAACTGACTATGGTCAAATTTGGCAGATTGATTTCCTACATGTGTAATGAGGCTGGTTGATTGCACAGAGCGACATTGCTGTCCCTAGAGAAAGAGGGGCCCCTTTATCAGGCATCAAACAATCTGCCTGGAAGAGCCACAGTAGAACCAGGCTTCTCCAGGTTGACTGGCTTTTTCATCTCTGCATCAAACTGATTTTATGGGATCATCCAACCACATACAACTGTATTCTAAAGTCTACAGCCATACAACAACAAATGGAAATGTTCTAATTACCAGTGCTGAACTGAGAATGTCTAATTGGTCAGAGAAATGTCAGTACTATCAGCCATCCCACCACTGGTGGGATCCATGGCACGTCAGATGCAGAATCAGACTGGAAGTCAGAGAAGCTTAAAATTCTCCTCCAAGAACTAGCTGAAATCTTACTGCAAGTTAAGCTGACTGCTTCCTGCCTTATGCTACTGAGAAAGGGGGGGGAAGTTCTCATGTCTTCCATAACAGCCTCCCTCTTCAGCCTTTTCTCCTAGAAGAGCCAGAATGTCTGTTGATTTGTATCGTCTCTTATTTCTTCAGCATTTTTCCTTTGGAGCATCTCTAATCTGCCTACCTCTTTCTCCAAGGGCCTGAGGCTGGATGGAGTATTCCTTCAGAGGATTGCTTCTACCTTGTGCACAACAGAAGTGAAATTCCCCTGCTCCCAAGTGTTGTCTTAACTCTTACTTGTGTTGTAACCCATAATAGTTCCCCAAATCCTCTGCTTTTTAATGGATTATTATTTGTCTTTTGTGCAGCTTGACTTACTAAGCAGCTATTGAAAGAAAGCTGGCTGACTTGAGAAGATCTTACTATCTTCTTGAATTCTTACTCCGTCTCCCGTGCCTACAAGCTATTGCCATCTCCACATCTCAGTCCACCAAGTCATTACTTGAAGTGTTGTCTAGATCTGGTAAGACACTACTGTGGGACTGTTCAAAAAGTTCCCAATTTTGACAAAACAATTCTCTTCCTACCATTTTTAAGACATTCCAAAGTTTGTTCTAATATTTTCAGTTATCCCACTTGTTTTTTAATTTTGTGTCTATTTTCCCCTCTTCTTCCCTTCTCAGGACACTTCCACCTGTGGCAGTTATCAAATGATTGCTGAGGGGTTCAGAGATCTCTGCTGCCATCTTAAGTAGTCTGGTGTGACTACCATTTCAGAGGACTTTGTTTCCATGGAGAGCAAAGGTCTGCTCAGGAACTTCAGAGAAAAGTTGACAGAGGAGCCCTCAGAATCCTTTCTGTACACACCAGAACTTAATTCTTTCTACAGTTTCCAACCATCACTCCTAAAGTAAAATAAGAAGCACTTTCTGAAGACACTCATTTGCTAGGGAATACATAGGAAGGGTACGTCACCAAGCTGCTAAAGGTCTACAGCCAGTTCACTGAGGTTACTGCTGCTACAGCAGCTGAGGAGTAGCTCATCTTATAAAGCTTACAGCTCTGTAGAGAAGCTTTCACTTTGTTTTTCATATTCATCAACAGTCTTCAGTAAGCAACTGATAGAGTGACTAGTGACCTTGCAGCATTAATTAAGAAAATAATGACAGTATTTCAGTACTTCCTCTCAATAACACATTGCCATGGGTGCTGGCAGGTAAAAATCCCTCAGTTTGGTAATGAGACCAGACAGAATTTACTCTGGTATTTTGACTACAAGTAGCAGGATGTCACATGGGTATTTTTGCTAGACATCCAAGCAAGCTGAATACCTTATTTTTTCCCTTCAGCTGTAACCACTAGGCTACAGGCAGCTTGGTGGCAGATAACAAACACACATTCAGCAGGACTCAGCACAGAAGTTAAAGGGTGAGGCTGCTTTCTGTCAGCTGGATCCTTGAGAGGTATTCACAGAAATACCTGTGTATACATACCCACACATTCAGTGTCCTGACCTGCATGGAATACCAGCAGACAAAGCTAGTTTAAATACTTTAAGTGTTTTGAGACCTCAACAGAGCTAAGTTACAGCAAACAAGTATTTGCTATTTGTACAGAGAGAAGACTAAATACTGGTGAGTCATTAGGTACATCAGTTTATAGAGACTATCACTGAGAAATAGCTCATTGCATAGGCACAGCTAACTAAACAAGGAAAACCTTCCAGCACCTGGACTTACCTGCACTGGTTTACCCATTGCTTTTGATAGCTGCTGGGTGAGCTCTCCCAGGAAAGGCTCTGGAACTTTATCCTTGCTTATATTTGTGTTAACAATGAATTTAGGCATTTTTTGCTTGCAAGAGGATTTTCTTTCAGCTCGCCTTGTTCACAGCTTTGCTTCTAAGTCACCTGAAAGATAGCTCACCCCACTGTGCTAGCAAGCACCTCTGGAGCCTTTAAATAGTCAGTGGTACCTTCCTCAGGTGCAGCTGAAGAGGTGGGAGTGCCTCGGGAGAGGCGAGGCTGCATGTGTTATCTGCAGGCTGCTGGCTCCTGATGCAGACAGTCAATGCACAGCTTCCATAGGGGGAAGCAGGCTTTCTGCATGCTGGAGATCAAAGCATCTGAAATAACACTTCCTATTTGGCTACAGCCTGATCATGAAAAACAGTGAAAAAGCAAGTGTTTCAGAGACTGTTTGAGAGTAGGAGAGTCATAATGTGCCTCTTTATGCAAGTCTTGTAATTATTTAAAAAATTTAGATGGATGCCTCAACTATGAAGTCTGGAACTCTTTCTGTGGAATAGACCATAACAGAAAAACCCCAGTGGCACATGTTGTGCAGACGTTCCCTGAACTCTGACATGACAAGACATGATGAAGATGCTTTAAATTCAGGGTCTTGATTTTCCACTGTGGTGAGCACTGGATTCTACATACTTAGAAGAGGTTTGTTTTCAACTTGCTCCTTTGTTGTGCAGATTGTCCCATAACAGTCAACAGGATCTCCTGAGATAGGAAATCCACAGGCTTATTAAAATGAGAGGGTTTTATCCAGAACAGAGTACGTGGCAGAGCTGGGACCAGTTCTCTTTGCCACCTGGTAGTGTCTTACATGAGAGAAGTTATTTAAAGGGTTCATAT